AGAGCGCGGGGGATCCCGGACAAGCTGGTGAGATGGGTGGACGCCTTCTGCTCCCATAGAACGGCAAGCATCCTGGTTAACGGTCACGAGTCCGAGGCTCGTCCGCTACCACAAGCCGGACTGCCTCAGGGTTCGCCGCTTTCGCCCGTGCTCTTCCTCTTCTTCAACGCCGATCTCGTACAGCACCAAATCGACGAGAACGGGGGCGCGCTGGCCTTCGTCGATGACTACACGGCGTGGGTCACAGGCCGATCGCGCGAAGCAAACCGTCAGGGCATCCAAGATATTATCGATCGAGCACTCGCGTGGGAACGACGAAGCGGGGCGACGTTCGAGACGGACAAGACGGCCATCATCCACTTCACGCGCAACTGGAGGCTGCCGGCGGACTCAACCAGCTTCGTCATCAAAGGTGACACTGTCCGAGCAAAGGACCACGTCAAAGTATTGGGAGTGATGATGGACACGAAACTCCGTTTCGAAAAGCACATCGCAGACGCGACGACAAAAGGGCTGGAGGCCGTGCTGGGGCTCAAACGGCTCAAAGGCCTGTCTCCGGCGACGGCCAGACAGCTTTTCGTGGCGGCCGTAGCACCGACGATGGACTACGCGTCGAACGTCTGGAGGTACAGGTGTCGAGCAGCGCAGATGAGGGTGATCAACCGAGTGCAGAGGATTGGCGCCCAAGCGATCGTGGGAACCTTCAACACGGTGGCCACGGCGGTCGCTGAAGCGGAGGCAAGCATACAATCGGCGCAAGAGAGGTACGACAGAAAATCAACGACATTCTGGGTACGGCTGCGAAGCCTTCCCAAGACCCATCCGCTTCGACGTCTGCGGGCGGTGGCCTTTAGACGGTTTCCGTCACCCTTCCAGTTGATGGCGGAGGCCTATCGCGACCTACCCCTTGACAAGCTGGAGACTATCGAAGGGTATTCGATCGCTCCTTGGGAACGTCGTATTGATACAGTAGTCGACGACGACACGGTCAAGGCCTCTGAGGCAATCCGGTCTGGATGGGCAGTGAGGATAGCGACAGGGAGCTCAGCAAGGAACGAGGTTGTGGGCTTTGGAACGGCGACGACGCTGCCCGCATCTTTCAGAGGGGGCGGTGGCGTCGTGACGGCCTCGCGTACGTTCGGTCAGAGAACGGAGCAGAACCCGTATGTAGCAGAGCTAGCGGCACTGGCAGAAGCGGTCAAGTCTCTCCCAGAGAGACTCGAGTACCGGGCCATCCACGTCTTCACCCGCAACAAAGCGGCAGTGTTGGTGATGCACAACCCGCGGCAGCAGTCAGGCCAACAAGAGATCCGACAACTATATGCCAGCGTGCAAGCTCTGCAGAGACGAGGCAACAGAGTCACTCTCTTCTGGCTTCCATCATCGATAGAGTCAGACCTGGCGCAAGCGGCCAAAGCAGCAGCAAAGGAAAGTACCCAAGTAAACAAGACACCACAAAAACGGCCGGCCAGAGCCTACTCGACGGCACTTAGGATCGCTTTACAGAGCGTGCGACAGAAGCACGGAGCCTTGCCCGACAACGTAGGAGCATATTCGAAGAAGATCGACATAGCCCTGCCGGGAAACCACACACGCAAGCTGTATGACGGACTGGCCTGGAAAGAAGCCAGCATTCTAGCGCAACTACGCACCGGAATGGCAAGGCTGAACTGGTACCTCTACCAGATCGGCGCAACCGCCGCGGCGCTATGCGCTTGCGGGCAATCTGCAGAAACGGTAGAGCATTTTCTCTTTCGATGCACACAGTGGACGGCACAGCGGACTCGGATGCTCCAACAGACGGAAACGCGGAGAGGAAATCTGTCATACTTCCTGGGAGGAAAGCGCGCGTCCGACCCTAAGGATTGGTCGCCAAGCGTAGACGTTGTCAAAGAGACGATCAAGTTCGCCATGAGCACGGAGAGGCTAGATGCACAGATCAGCCAGCAGCGAAACCACACGCAACTAACATCATCAAATTAACCGGAGACACCCCCACGCATCCTCGTGCCATCGACAGCAGGACTAGCTTCGGCCGCCGACGATAGGACGTCGAACACTTTGAGAAACAACTCCGAGATGGCCTGCTACTAACCCCACGAGCAACCGCAGCATCGACATGCAAAACTAAAAAAGACACATACGGAGACGAACAAGACTTGTATGGGCTTCTGGGAGGCAAGGATATGAACGAATGTGGAGAATATGTAGATAATCATGCGAGCCCTAAACAGCTTAGCCGGGGCGTAATAAACTATGTATGTATGTATGTATGTTGGCCCAACTCGTTCCGTGGCAGCGTTCTTGGAAAGGGGCCAAGTTTTTGTTTTGGGGGAAGGGTTAAGTAGGACCCGCTCGTATCAAATCTCGCATTCGAGAACGGATGCGAGTCGTGAATGCGAACGCGAAGGCGTACAGCCCCCAGACGACTCACCAAACATCACCACGCATTGTAATACTGGAACGGCTGATGTATGAGACACGTGAGCTGACAATGTCCATGCCTTTCTGGACCCTTTGGAACCATTATTGGCCATCATTGGTCGAGCTCTCAACCCCGGGTTAGAGTGTTGGGTTGAGACGGTTCGGACATTGAGATTGATCTTTCTGGGGGCATTAAACCTTGAAGTGCAAGCCACCGTACGGAGTACAAGGCGCCGGGAGACAGGTCCGGATACGCAGTCGCGACCTTGACTTCGCGCCTTTCTAGGATTGCGTGTGCGCATAGATAAAGAGGGATGTCCGACCACCAAGCCGTATACATGACGACACATTATCCATTTCTTGACTTTTCCCTCAGCTTTGTTCACTGTGTCACCTTAGATCAAAATGAGAAACCCAACTACGGCTTCGCGGCCGAGCACCGGTCAGCCAATTGAGGTTCGCATTAAAACTACAGAACCACGAACTACTGAGATTCGAGCCAAAGAGACTTTGCCGAGGAGCAAGTCATTTCACCAACTTTCTTCCCGCGTGGAAGTTAGACCTACAGAGTCCCTTCCGCGGAGCAAGTCCCATCACCAATTGCCTCGCCAGGAGAGATCGCAAAACCCGGTGCAACTGCAGGCCTTCGAGTGGAATTTGCCCGCCGACCACAAGCACTGGCGACGGCTCCGGCGCACGCTGCCGGCACTGAGGTCCGTTGGTGTGAACAGCCTATGGCTGCCGCCCGGAAGCAAAGCCAAGGATCCCGAGAGTAACGGCTACGATATTTACGACGCCTGGGATCTTGGAGAGTTTGACCAAAAGGGCTCAGTCCCCACCAAATGGGGGACCAAGGGAGACCTTGTGTCCTTAGCGGCGGATGCGGAGCACCACGGCATTGGGCTCGTCTGGGACGCGATTCACAACCACCGCGCCTATGCTGACGGCACTGAGATGGTAAAGGTGGTCGAGGTTGATCCGCGTGGTAAGCTTTCATTTATCAGCTCGTAGTAGTCCTGGGTCTTATCTGTTTACACTTATTGCAGATAGACGGCGAGACACCACAGACGTTTATGAAATTGAGTCATGGACCAAATTCGACTACAAAGCTAGAGGGGGCAAGTACAGCAAGTTCCGATATAACAAGTCGCATTTCAACGGCACAGACTGGAACCAACAGAACAAGAAACGTGCCATCTACAGGTTTGTAGAAGATGGCAAGAACTGGCATCAAGACGTCGGCGACCTCCAAGGGAATGCCGACTACTTGATGCTCGAAAACCTCGACTACACCAACCCTGAGGTCGTCAAAGAGCAGCATCAGTGGGGCAAGTGGATCGTGGATGAGCTCGGTCTCAAAGGCTTCCGCGTGGACGCCGTACAGCACATCTCATGGAACTTTATCAGCAAATGGGCAGAGCACTTGAGGAAGCCAGCCATTCGCAATGATCTCATGTTCATTGGAGAGTTTTGGCATGGTGACGTGCGCGTCTTGAACAATTGGTTGGAGCATATGCCGGCATTCTTCAGCCTCTACGACGTTCCTCTGATGTACCACATCGAAAGACTGTCATGGCACCGAGACACGGACTTGAGGCAGGTGTTCAAGGATACCTTGGTGGAGCAACGGCCCAACAATGCTGTTGTAAGTTTGTTGATCTTCTGCAAACTTGATCCAATTACTAACAATTTGCAGACTTTCATTCGTAATCACGATACTCAGAAAGGTCAACAGATGGACACCCCAATTTGCAAGGAGTTCATGCCCTTTGCCTACTCCATGATCCTTCTCAGACGCGATGGTCACCCTTGTGTCTTCTTTGGTGATTTGTACGGCATCGAGCTTACCCATCCCGAGGCGCCCATCCAAGACCTTCCCAACCTTCTCTTGGCCAGGAAGCTTTATGCTTACGGGGAGCAACAAGATTACTTCGAGCGGCCCGACTGTATTGGATGGGTCAGACGCGGAACGGAAGAGAGACCCGCCGGCATGGCCGTGGTCATGAGCTGGACACAGGCTGAACATACCGACACTCGGCTATCAATGTCAGTTGGTGCCGACCACGCCGGTGAGGTCTGGACTGATGTTCTCGGAGTGGAGCCGGCTGCAATTACAATTGATGAGAACGGTGTGGGTTCGTTTTACTGCCCGAAGAACAAGATGGCTTGTTTCGTCAATTCGGATGCGAAGGGAAGAAAGAAATTCCCTGTCAAGTTCGATTCTGACTTTCACGGCCTTATTGTATAGAGCGATCATGGCGCAAGACTTGAGGCTATTGAGAGAGAAGCCCATTATTGTATCATACTTAGACATTTCCTTTACACCTTTGGTCGCATTCACAAGTAGAGACATAGCCTAGACAATACCCTTATCGATAGCATTTACCCCTTCACAGCAAGCCGGAGAATAAGTCCTAGATTTTTTTTTCCCTTCATGAACATGGTGCAATACGCTAAAATTAAGGTTTTGGGTTCTTTACTGCCACTTGCTGACAGACTGAAGTATCTACAATACGTGGGTTCGTACGGAATCACGTATCAAAGCGGAAGACATACAGCACCAGGTATCGATTATTGAGGACAACGGAGATTTGGATTTGGGTCATATGTAACCTGAAGTTCTAACCCAGATTTTATATATACACAAGATAAGACCATGATGTTCTATTCGGTCATAATGTAAGGTAAAGTCAGAAACACATGGTATAGCTGTTTGAACGATCTCTTCATAGCCAGATACCAGCCTCTTATCACTTCACGTGTGGCAGAGAATACAACGGTAAACCAGCTTCGGAAGCTCGCAACCTCAATCAGAAATGCAATCACCCATGCTGCAATGGAAAGGAAGAAACTGTGGGGTATAACATCCGCAAAGACAAGAGCCCAAAGCATGAGTCCAGCCGCATAAGGAATAAGCATAAGCAAAAGCCAGCCACCTGAGGTCTCAGATGCTTGGGGGAGCTGAGCCGGTTCCACGATCATCATTGACTCTAGTATGGGCAATGAATGCTAATGGGTGAGGTCAGCCAAATCTACGTTTCCTCATAATGAAATCGCACTTCCAGTAGATGACGACTTACCGCAGTGGCTGCTGATGGGGACTGATTTCCCAGGGTTCGGTTCAAAGGCTGACTTCCCGATGCATGAGAAGTCGGCAGCAAGTCTGTTACATCTGGCGCATTCGTCTCGGGCGTTGGCAAAGAAGATGTGTCTTCAGTTTTTTGAGAAGATAGTTCATCATATGTAGTAGCAGCTGTAAATCACGTGTATTAGCGGAATAGTTCTTGTCTGTCGATATTACATGATCGCTTCTGTTTCCCGGTCATTCGGTCGATCGTGACATTGGGCCTACTTACTTGAATATGCCTCAGCAGCCGATATCAATGGAAGAGCTAAAAGGAACAGAGGTACAAGCTGCCCAAAGTTCGGCTTGATGGCACCAAGTCTGAGACTGACATCATTGAAGAACTCCAGGAGATTCGCGGTTCCGAATGTGAAGTAGAATACCAACCACACAATTTCCCAGAGAAAACTAGATCTCAGATCTGCCAGTGTTTGATTGTGAGTCAAAGCTAGTCTTTCAAATTTGGTTTCAGCTTCAGGCCCGAAAAAGGCTCGTAAAGAACGACGCTGCCAGTAGTCTCTTTCTTCGCGGGCAAGCGGGCAATAGAGTTGTAGCAGCCTCTGGACGTAGCCAGATATGAGAATGTAAGTTAGTATCGATAGGTTGAAGATAATAATGATTTCGTCAGAGAAGAAGACATAGTTGGGTCTTTCTCGATCAATCAGCTTAAAATGCTTTCTCGCACATTTGACCGAAACGTGTCGATTGAAACGAAAAGTAACAGAGTCTGAGATGGTCATGCACCCAATCATCATCGCCAGGAAGACAACCATAAGGATGGTGCGGAACATTCTTAACCGTTTATGTTGGTCGAAGTAGCCCCACAACACTGTGAGTGAGCAAAGATGCGTGATGCATGAGAAGTACCCGAGTCGAGTCGCAATTTGAAACGAGTACACCGAAAAGTCCTCGTCCAAGCCATGTACCCCCGCGGATATTAAGATCGTTGCCAACATGAGGACCATGCCAGTAACAAGTTGCTGGTCACTGAGAGATAGCATGAATGACTCGAAAGCTTTGATGCGTTGTTTCCTATCGGCCGACGACGACCCTCTGGAATGAATGATATCGTCTATTGTGTTGTACCGTTTCTCAGGTAGCGCTTTTGTCGCGTATGCAACGATGATGGCAATCATGTTCATGACGATTGAAAAGCAAAAGGATGAGACGATCTATCTGAGATTAGCATCAATTGAGAAGCCAAGAATATCATCTTGAAGAATCTTACCCCCCAGCCCGTTACGTCGGGATCAGGTACATTTTCCTCCGTCATCCGTTCGCAATACCCTCCCTTGATCAAATAATCGGTTTCCATTTTGCTAAACGAATACCACGCAAACCGATGCGTTATCTGGGCTTTTCGTCGTTTGGCGAAGCATTATGTCTCGTCGTATGGCCAGCAGTTTGAGAAAGGCGAGAACAATAGAGTCGCTGATCGGCAAGGATATCAAGAACTGGGGAGCGGCGGGATTTAGGGATCAAGGCCTGGTTCGCAACAAAATGTTCAGGATCAGGCGGCCATTGCTAAGCCCCAGTGCACCGAGCCTTGAGCCGCCAATGCCTGCGGCCCAACGGTGACGGAGGGGCTAGACCTAACTGAAGACATAATATGGTGCGTAGGACGGTTCTGCTAGAGCTGATGCCGGCAGCGAATAAATTCCATACGCTTATCTATCAGAGCTTGTAAAGGTCCACACCAAATACACATGGAGTCACTGTGGCTGAATCTATCGAGAACTTGCAGTCAGGCCCGCGAAAGAATCGCGACGACTGCTTATCAGATGGGCTACCTCCGCCAACTGGGCTGTGGCTCTGTGCTTGGGGGCTTGCCTTGTTTCTCCCTTTTTGACAGGCAATTAAGGAGCCTAAGACAAATGATGTGAAACGAAAGAAGAGTCCGCCTCACTTCTTGCGCCAGATTAGGCAAAAATTAGAGGCTCTCCCAGCCGAAGGGGCTGATGCGGCGCATGCGTACCATGCCTTGGTTAACTTTCAGCTCCCCTGCCTGCTCTCTCTCTGATCACACGCACGTCATCGCAAGCACAATACCGATGATGTGTCATAATGGCTACCAAAGATCATTACCAATCTGTTTCAACCTCAGGGGTACAGACATTGCTAAATGGTCTTCTACACAAGAATCAGCGGTTTCATTTGATACCTACCGATACTTTACTTCGTCATTCGTGCACGGTTGTCCTTGTCCCGGCAAATTTGATAGCGACGAGTCACAGCTAGGTAGGCGTCGTTGTTTTCCAGTACCTGATTTTGGCCCAAGGCCAGGATTTTGGTCAATTGCGACAACTTTAAACGCCGTGTACCTCGCCATAACATTTATGTGTAGCCAACTCACTTTCGTCAGTCCGACTTCGACTAGCTTTTCTATTTCGGTAATTCATATCACGATCATTTGTCGGAGCCGGAGTAAGTCAGCGTAAGTGAACGCTTGACTAGAAAAGATCAAACTCCTCTTAAGTTCAGTGGAAATCAGGCTCCCCAAGTATTTTCCGAACATCCCGAACGCTCTACTCGCCAAAGAGCACCTCGGTACATAATGTAAGCTCACCGGCCCCAAAGCAGCAAGCTTGGTACAAGTAAGTGAGTAAAGTAGCTGGGTGAGGCTGCTGAATCCAGATACGGAAGTATAAACGACAGCATCCTCGTTCTCTTGGTCCTTCCTACAACTGCACATGGGGTCAAGTGACGTGACATAGAATGCAAAATAGGAATAGGGGGCTTTATCGCTTTTCTATCTACCGCGACACCAAGGTCAGTTAATTAAAGCCATTACTTAATACCTGTTAAGAGTCCAGCCCACGTGAGTCCACGTTGGGGGGATTTCAGTATATAGAATCTAAGCTGAGGAGTAGAGGTTTCTGGAGCGGAGGTTCTGCGGAGGTTCTGCGGAGGAAAAGCGCTCAAGTGGGACCTCCGCGGAAGCGGCGCGGTGAGCCGTGGCAGTATCCGGGCTGAGGCTCGGATCCACTAATCGGGTCTAGCCCGTAACAATACCTTACTTTACCCATCGATAGCCCCCGTGACGTATTGTTTCAAAACTTCATTTTGAATGATGACTCTCATACTTCTAATAATGCCCAAGAATTGTAAATGGAACACATGCTTCTCCTATCGTCGAAGACCTAGTATGATGATTGCTCTGGGCGTAAGCTGACATTCAGTGCGACGCACCCCCAATATGATTTTGTGACTGCAGCCTTCTTAAAACAGAACATCGCCATATTACTGGTCGCCTGCTCATGGTCACACAACTCTCTCTTGAATCTCTTAATGAGCGCCGGTCCCTGTCAATGATCCTGGACTTCTGCCCTCCTCAGTTCGCTTGATTTTGGTCCATTTCTCGAGGTAACAGGAGAATTCTTGACAACTCAGTGTTTCGAAACACTTGCTTAACAAAATGCAACACGACGCTAATATTAACTCTTTGTCTCCGTTAGCTTACAGGCCAGACGGGCAGCCAGTGTCTCCTAGTTCAAGTCGACGTACCTCGCTGGCATCCAACAGGGACCACCCCCTAGAGCCTGGAGCCCGACAATGTCTACCCGAGGCGGATGATGCTGCGATAGAGGACCTGGCATCTACGATAACCGGTCCACGTATTTCGACTGATGGCACAACGAAGTACGATCGGGTTGCGGAAGACGACACTGATGGCGCCATACCGAGTGTTGACTTGCCCAGCAACAGGTTGGGCTTTTTTACTATCGCAACAGATTGCGCCGCTATTGTTCTTCCCTTGGGTCTCATTGTCTTCATCACCATTGTGTGGCGCCTTGACGGCTCTGAAAGTACCGAAAGTTCCCGCGGGGCCTGGCGAAACGCAATCACGATAGTAAGTACAGAGCTTTTCTACCTGAACACACCAGGTAATCCAAGAGATCAAATAATAGTAATAACCGATTTCAGCTCGCGACTGTTTTCCCGATCCTCTTTGCGTCAGTTGTAGGTCGTCTTACATATGAAGCGGCACGCTGGAAGCTAGAAACCGGCACAACCCTAGGCTCTCTCGAACAATTCCTAGGCAGCCGTACGGTAGGCGCCACCCTACTCAATCTGATCCAACTTCGATTATTCAATATCGTGGGCGCTGCTTTGGTATTGATATGGGCACTCTCACCTTTGGGGACCCAGTCTATTTTGAGAATGATGTCCTCAGAGATCGCCCCCGACAACAGAAATACGACGATAACCTACTTCGACACAAATGCTGAGAGTCAAGCCATACAATGGGCGACCTGGGTGGGATTCTCATACTCAACCTCCATGGCAAGCTTTCGGCCCATGTCGACATTGTATAACACCCTTATTTCAATGCCTGAAGGACTTAAAGCGGATGCTCTGGATGTGTGGGGCAACGTCAAAATACCTTTCCTAAAGCGCTTTGACACAAACGACTGGATGGACTTGGATCGAGACCTCAACGTGAATGAGTATTCGTCCCTGGCCGGGGTTCCTCTCAACAGCATCGGAGTGGGACACACCGTGTTTTCACTGGAGTCCAGCTACATCAGCCTAGACTGCTCGGCTGTTGAGACCCTCAAGATGAATCTAGGAGACGACGACCTACTGAAAGAAGAGGTATTTCACGACGACTTATCAGCCGCTTCTCTGGCTGTCGACACCAAGTACACAAGAAACGCAAACTTGTCGAATGGTACATGGCATGGATACGACTACACAAGAAACGTCTCCGGGCTGGATTCGACTTGGATCCTGGCGCTCGACAGATTCGTAGATCGAATATGGTCGATGAAACCTGCTGATTACCCAACAAACCCAGTCGTTGGCCCTCTGCATGGTCGCGTTGAGGAAATGCACCGGCCCCTCTTGTTCAAAGATGAGCAGCATATTGACGCCGGGTCGACGACTCTCCTATTCCAAAGCATATTCCCTCCCCAAGAAAAACACCCAGGATGTTCGGCAAAGAGTCTCTGCAGGGTATCTCAGGAGTACGTCGAGTCCCGCGTCAACTGTTCTCGCACTACTCGCACCGACAAACATAAATGCACAGTCGTAGCCCAGCGGAAGTCGCAGAAGCAAAATGCGTCTGGGGATATATCTCAACTATCATTCCCCGCCGTCTTTGACTTTGTTTCCCGAGAACTTCCGCTCTCCATCGGAGGCTCTACTGCATACAAGTCCGAGTTCTCGCTTTACCATCTCGCTGACCCAGGGCTGAAACAACTGAGGTACGACGAATACTGCATCATAGAAAATGTCACAGCCAAGGATATGGGTATTCGACTTAGCCAGCTCCTTAATACCTACCTCCTTATCAGCCAGCTTTCGTTCGAGATCGCGAAGTGGGATGCGGATAAACCAACGTTTGGAGCCAAGGTCTCCATCGATGCAGAAACAAGCACCCCTGTTCTCAAATTTCAGATTTTCCCATTATGGTTGACGCTTTTCTTGGTTGCGAGCGTCGGGCTTCTTGCAGCTGGTTTTTCCAGCGTTATTCTTAAACACAGGACGTACGGGCCGGAAATCCTTGGTTACGCTTCTACTGTCCTACGAGATTCGAGGTTCTTTGATGTGCCAAGAGACTATAGAGGACTGGATGGGATCAATTTGTCACGAAAGATGAAATCTGAGCGGCTCCAATTTGGCTTGATACAAGATCTGAAAGAGGGACAACCGCGAATGGGAGTTGGTCATCAAGAGAGTACGGATAGATTAAGAACACAATAGAGTCGTGACTGAATCTGTCAGGAGGTTTTAACCACTCCAAGTCTTAGATGTAAGGAACCAAGCTAAGTCAACTTCACATCGTCGAGACCCTTGGTCCATGAATCATCTATGGAGGCAAGACGACAACAAGGCAATACAGATTTCTACATGCACGATAGTTTGGTAGAGGGATTGATGGGTTTAACTTTGTTGTTCTCTTATTATTGATTAGATATGAGGACCTATCTTGAGGTCCTACAAAGCTTAATGATCTTTTAACACGTTTCGAGGTTATGCTTGAAAGGCTGTCCACCGAGTATCACTTCATGCAGAAACGAGATATCTCGATTCAAAGCTCTGCTGAGCCCCTATTCGTCCGGATCACCACGCAAGTGACATAAAGAATTGACCACTGGAAGTAAAAGTGGCGGCTTTTAAGCTTACGCGAACTCTATCGCGTAAGTGCGTAGATGAAACTCTGCAATCGTTGATCATGCTATCGGTGACCAGAGTCCCGATGAATAGAGAAAGTGGCCGCAAGCTTCAGTCAGTCGTGCGTCGTTCCTCTTCGATCATAGAAATTGTTGGCCAGGCCCGGTACTTGGTAAATCCCCAAAACTATCGATGAGAGTTATTTTCGAGGTACCGTTTCGTCGGCCCAAGCATCGATGATCATGATATAGTAGTCCGGTTCTCGTGTGGGTGATATGATCTGTTAAAATGCGAGTGGGCGGCCTCCCCATACTCGGGCTTCTTTGAAGTCATCACACTGCTTTGTTCTTGGATTCTTCTTGATCGGGAAGTTCTCCGTCTTCCACTGTTCCTGGTAGTTCGGCAATGGGCTCCACAGGCCCTTCTTCCGGTGATCGCTTGCTGGCCTTCCACCTCTCTGACCGAGCCATTGCAAAGAGCCTCGTTGCGCCGTAGAGCTGGGTCGTGATCCACAGCGTGAAGATGACGGGAGTGACCACCCTCCACACGTGACCCCATCGATCCCAAGACTTGTGCAAGAGGTATATCGTGACTGCAGTCTCCGAGACCGCACCAACAATAACCCACACGAAGCAGGCGGAGGTGAGGTAGGAAAGCAGTCGATGGTCGCGGCGCTTGATTCGCCAGATGATCATGGAAAGGTAGATGGGCAGTTCTACTACGACATCGAAAGCGCCTACGTTCAATAGTCAGTCATACAACGTTGCAATTCATCTAGACTCGGGCAGAGTGCTGTCAACATACCCCACACCATGCACATGTAGAACTCGATTGTTGCTTCCGGGTGGTGCTCAATGTTTCCGAAGAGGGAGAGGGCGGTCTGCGTGATGGCCAAGAGTCCAATATGATGGGCGATACTGAGAGGACTCGCGAATTGCGTGCGATAGCAGAGCTCGAAGACGTAGTAGGCGCTATACGTTTGCGCTACCGTGAACAACAGATCACCTACTCTTATACGCCTTCCTGGTCCTGGCGATACGTCTGTTGTCAAGTCGGCAGACCCGATGAGGAAACGCATCACAGGGTAGACACCGATGCAGAAGAGTGTGAGCATAATAATAGCACCAATGTGGTAGTATGTGAAGGAGCGCCGTCTCTTTTCGTTCTCGGGGCGTTGCAAAACTGCGTAGATCTCTCCATAGACTCTTTCCAGTAGCCAACGTTCGAGGATGTTGGCGATGAGGACAACGACGATGACGCTTGAGACGAGGAGAAGCGAACCGTATGCCTGGAGGCCTGATAGTGGTCCGTTCTGGATCGTCTCGATTTTCGGCAGTGACCTGGTGGCTAGGCTAGTTGTGAAGTCGGCCATGATGTTTGGCTTGTATGTACGGGAATACCTGTGTTGAAGGTGGCAAGCAGAGAGATGGAAGGAGAGACAAGTCAAGGAAAGAGTCTGACGTCAAGGACTGGGGTATTTGGCAGAGTTGCATGCTCAGAGGGAAAAGAGAAAGAGAAAGTGTCAAGTGACTTGTGGCGGCCCGCAAAATGGTGTCGAAAGTGGCGTTTTGTTGACCCTGATAGAGTGACGATGGCTTCAATCTATCCAGGTATGACACCGTCAAGGTTGGAGAAAATGGCAGTATTAAAACAAGAGAAACAATGAACAGTAAACACCGGGTGAACAGGGTAGATCGAAACCGGGGAATGATTCCAAGAAAAAGAAATACGACTCTGGAGCCTGATATTGACTGTAGCCAGAGCTGCGCCAGCACACTAGAGAGGGAACGAAATGAGCGCCTCCTTTGTTTAGGGCGAACGGCTGTGCTCACCGTTTTGATGGCTCCATGTCGAGGCCGTGGTGTCCATGTCATGTTCGCCCGACCAGATGAGTGTTAGTCGTGGCCGCGGGACCCGTGCTTCAAAGGAGAAAAAAGCGACCCTCTCGGGCCCTGGAGCTTCGGGCGCCGGCAGTCTTCAGACACTTTGCCAAAGTCTAGAGGCCACCGACATGTGTCGTTCCAGCCCTAGCTCCTTGGACCACGTCTGATTACGCGACAGAATTCTGTGAACCATGTATCCCTGGAGATGTCGACGGCCCAATCAGGGGCCCCGTAAAGTTGCCGTCCAACCCGATCGGGCGTGGAACGCTTGGGTTTGGTTCGCGTTACAAATATGGAACAAAGGCATGAGCATGCGGGGTGTTTCTCTCCAAGGAAATACGGCACCACGGGCGTGCCGCTGCAGCCATGGTCGATCTGGGATGAATTCGGTTTTCGGCACCTGGCACCTAGGCTTTCAGGCGAGCAGTTTCCGGGCTAGGGGGGAACTAAATCACCGAGTAAGCGTCGTTTCTACTGACAGATCGTCAGGGGCTTGAAATAGACACATGGGGATTTGAATTGTGTCCGAAGAAAGCTATCATGGTGCAGTCCCTTGCGGCTAGCTCAATGCCAAGACATTGAAGAGCGCCTGGTTTGTCGCCTTGTGCGGGCTGTCCCGACATCTTGCTGAAAGACGCGATGCCAAGGATTCTAGAGTTCATGGTAACTGCTGTCAGGGCGATCAGGGCGATCATCTAGCGTGGGGAACACGGGCGGGCACAGCCCCCGGACGGTAATCTCAAATTATGGACACGAGACGGCGTGGGGATTGCGCTGTTTTGTGTTGCTGGCCTTGGATCGCTTCGTCAAAGACATCGGCTCTGGATCCCTCGAGTTTTGGAGCAAGTTGGGTAGGTCAGGCAGAACTTGCTGCATTAGCCTGACGGGACACCGGCTCGCTTGGGGCACATTTCATGATCTCGTAACCCGAAGAACAGCAACGTTGAGTAGATAAACATCGGATGGGCGGCGCTGATTTTGGTGCTGATTCATAGACTCATGGATGGATGGCGCGAGAATGGGCGGACCTTTTGTGAACCTAACGAAATATCCGCCGGGCGTTGTAGAATTCGGCCAAAGCTGAGGCCAGTGGGAGCTAGACGCTGACTGTGCAGCAGGGTGATTAGGTAAAGTCAGATTCCTCCCTTTCGTATCACGTGCTCAGCTTATCTTAGTCTTGTATATACATCACGTGCTTTGATGCTACCCCCAGCGCCCGAGGAACTCCCGCCGTCTGTGGTCCGTGCACCCCAATTGCGCCAGGGAGGTCCGTCGGAGAATCTGCGGCACCGTCGGGAGTTGACATCATCCCAACTGCCATCATGAGTTTGACCTCGTTCAACACACCCTCAAATTGAATAAAAACGGCTAAAGTCATGGCGGAGACTCTGCTGGGACTGGAGGTTGCCTTCTATCTCTATCCCTGCGGCCTCTTTGTCACTCTACTGGCGGCGCAGTCCTATCAATTCTACCGGGACCGCCATGGCGTTACGCGTCAGACCGCGACAGACGATGAGCAGAAGAAAGCTTCGCGACTATACGCGCGGATAATCTGGGGCTTTCAGCTGATAGTCTCTCTCTTACTCGTGAGTCTGGGAATCACTTCTAAAGATCTCGAGTTATCCTCAAAGCTCACACTTTTTTTTTTCTAGCTTGCCACCATCATCCTTGCCGTTCACGGCGCTATTGCTGGCCAATACGATGGAGCTGGCAAAGTCGTGTTCCCGTTCAGTGCTTACTTGGTGAGTGGGGTCTCTAATGCACCCCAACGAAGAACTTTGGTGTTGACACTTGCATAGGCATCATACGTTGCCGTCTTATTGTACTATCTAGCTGGCCTACTTCCTGACCCTGAAGGCCCTTGGACGCCAACATCGGCGCATTTCTATGCGTGGATCGTAGGTGCGCTTTTTGAGGCCTTCATCGCGGCCGTCTTTTCTTCTGAGAAGAACTCATTCCGCGTCCACAATGGTCTTCTCGATATCCTGGATATCGTGGCCGCTGTTCGAACCGTTGTGCTGGTAGCGATGATGGTCTGTCTCATCCTGAGAGACCACAAGCTGAAGCCCCTGCAACCCAAGTCGGAGCCTGAAGAGAGACAGTCCCTTCTTGGGAACGGAAATGGGAACGAAAACGGAGCGTCTCACAACTACGGCGGCGCCCACCCCCACGGACCTGCTGCTCACAAGCCTCCTGCCAGAACCCAGGTCTCGGGTACAGGATGGCTTGACTACTTTGCTGGGTTCAGGGTTCTGTTCCCGTATCTATGGTATAGTGACCCTGCTTCAACCGCTTTGCGGACTTTGCTAACTTTCCGTGCGCCAGGCCTAAAGACTCTCCGGTATACCAAGGAATTGTAGTCGTTTGCATCATACTCCTAGTCGGTCAGCGGACCATCAACGTTTTGGCACCCATTCAGCTCGGAACTCTTGTCGACTCGCTCGGCTATGGCACCATTCCTTACAAACAGATTGTTCTCTATGTCGTCTATCGCGCTCTCCAAGGCAATCAGGGTATTCTCGGTGCCGCGAGATCTGTCCTTTGGATCCCGGTCTCTCAGTCGCTCTTCCGCAGACTCTCATGCGCTGCGTTCGAACACGTGTTGGGACTTTCTCTGGAATTCCATCTGAACAAGAAGATTGGAGAGGTGACCAGTGCACTGAGCCGCGGTTCTGCGATGAACACTTTCCTGGAGAACTTCTGCTTCCAAGTGTTCCCCATGGTGTTCGATATCTTTGTTGCTGGTGTTGTCTTCTTTGCCAAGTATGACGCTTTCTACACCATCATCGTTTTCTTCATCATGTGGTCGTATATCTTCCTGACCATCTATGTGGCCAAATATCGCAGCAAGCAAAGAAGAGACATGGCTACCAAGAATCGTGAGATGGAAGCTACCAAGACTGACGCCATCATGGCGTACGAGACTGTGCAGCACAATTGCGCAGTTGCGCCCGAAACTGAGAGGTTCAAGGAACATGTGATGGTGTACCAACGCGCAGAACGGCTGGTGCAGTGGTCTCTCAACTTTCTTAACCTTACACAGAGCTCCATTTTCTCCCTTGGTACTGCTTTGCTTGTTGCAGTCTCTGCCTACAAGATTTCGCGGGGTGAGCAGAGCGTTGGCGATTTCGTCAGCTTGATCAACTACTTTGTGCAGTTGCAGGGTCCACTGAACTTCTTTGGAACTTACTACACCATGCTACAAAACAATCTCATTGAGGCAGAGCGAATGCTCGAGCTCGTGGGTCTTTCCTGCTTAAAATACACTACCTCTGGTACGCTAACCTTGTTTCTCTAGTTCAAAGAAACGTCTGGCATTGTGGAGAAGCCCGACGCCGTCACCCTACCCGCCGTCAAGGGAGAGGTCGCATTCAACACCGTCAAATTCTCTTACCAGAGCAAGAAGGGCGAGCCCGCGATCAATGGCGTCAGCTTCACTGTTGCCCCGGGCACCAAGACCGCCATTGTTGGAGAGTCTGGCAGCGGCAAGTCAACCTGCCTGAAGCTTCTTTTCCGTTTCTACGATATCAATGAAGGATCAATCACTGTCGACGGCCACGACTTGAAAGATCTGAAGCTCGACAGCCTGCGGAAGAACATTGGCGTTGTGCCTCAGGATACTGTGCTTTTCAATGCAACCATCATGTACAACCTGCTCTACGCCGACCGCAATGCCTCTCAGGCCGACGTATACGAGGCATGCAAGGCTGCTAATATCCACGATCGCATTCTCGCATTCCCCGATGGATACGATACCAAGGTCGGAGAACGCGGACTCAAACTCTCCGGAGGCGAGCGACAGAGAATTGCCATCGCGAGAGCGATTCTGAAGGACGCCCGCATCTTGTTGCTTGACGAGGCCACGGCATCTCTGGACTCACACACCGAGAGGCAGATTCAAGACGCCCTGGAGCGTGTCACTGCGGGTCGTACAACGATCACCATCGCCCACCGGCTCTCCACCATCACCACTTCCGATCAGATCGTGGTTCTCCACAAGGGAAATGTCGTTGAGCGTGGCACGCACGCCGAGCTATTGGCGCTCGGAGGCCGATACCATGCCATGTGGGAGAAACAGACCACCACTGAGAAGAAGAATATTGAAAAGGTGGAGAAGGAAGGAGGGTCTTCGGAAACTGCATCCCAGCATTAAGGAAAGCCGAAAAAAGGATTTCGTTTGTTCTATGGCGACCGAAGTTACCGTGAGGCTGGTTAGTTAGATATGCGACTAGGTGTATAGATAGGTAGATGTAACAACACGGGCCCAATTTGGAGACTAATCTATGTTTACCGCTATCTTTGACCATGAAGTCGCTCGTGGATCTTGGCGTCATTCATCAAAGACCCAGCAGTGTGGGTTACCGCGGGAAGCACTTACACGGCAATGTCCACTTGACGGTTGTTGATTGGCTCCTTCGCGATTGCCCAAAAAGGGAACGATGGTGCCGGCCCTAATCGCACTCGGGCGACTCGGTTCATGCCTTGAAGTCCACTTTATATAGGCAGCCGTTTAAAAGTTGAACACGAAACTTTAAACCGATTAGGCCAGATTAAGTACGTGTCAAGCAGACTTTGTGACATACGTAGCGCTTTCCAACAAACATGAGTCCGCCATGGTTATGATGGGTGCCTAGGATAGTCTGTCTAGTCCCAAAATTTAGTTGCTAAACCATGTTGGCGCCCCTTCTTTGTAATAGTCCGTCACTAGCAATATCCTCCGCAGCCACGGCTTCCTCGCTGTCTCTCCCTTCCGTCATCCAACCAGGTTCCATGGCAGCTCCCCTGGAAACAGAGTTTAGCTCTCCATTGCGTGAACGGTGCTGCTTACCAGCCAAGTCGTCGTCGTCAATCCATGCGTACAAGAACTCCAGAATTCAAACCGCCATGACGACGCCGCCCACGATGTTTCCCAGCGTGACTGGTATCACAGGTCGGGAAATGAAGTCGCCCTCGCCGAGATCGGTTTGGTAGAATAGAATATGTCAATGGGACGAGAAAGAAGTTTGCGATAGAGTATTAGTATTCATGGCAGATGTTGGAGGTTTAGAAATTAGCTCTTGCATATTTTGTTCGATTAGTATAAACAAAATCGTATGAATCCTCCATTGGTACACTCACAACATCCAAATGGGTAGCCAAATACCCACGATCTTGGTAAACATGCCTCTGTCGCTCAAAATTATGTAAACTGCCAATCCTACCAGCCAATTCCAGTCAACCCCTCGAGTGAAGTTATATTCTCAGTTGGCATTCATACTACTCTCCTCTGCTTGCACCACTGCATACTCGGCCTCCAGACTCAAGCGTGTGAGTCTCCCAAGCAAAGACCCCAGCAAAATGACGAGCACCACGCGAGACTGAAGACGTAGATGACGAACCAGCTCCTTACGAGATCATGCCAGCGCGTCTTACACTATAATTTCGAGTACATGGCGACTGCCATATTGCTCTGCAGGGTTCGAGGCACAGAGGCCGGGCGCGCCGCCTGCGATGACGAGGATAAAGAGGGACCCGAGGGAGATGAAGATTCCGTCGAAGAATTCCAAGATGAGGTCTTTCCAGGGGAGTTTGGCTTTTGCGATGCCGGACTGGCAGATCAGGTGACATGCTTTTGGTGGTGGGACGCGGGCGGCGAGTTCGCCTGTCGAGATTTAAACATGACGACGTCTGGGCGGCAGCCTTCTTCACAATCGGGCTCAGACATGGCATGTCAAACATTTGATGCTTGATTTCAGTATTTGGGGAAGCCCTGCATACGCACGTCTTCTCAGCTGTGCAAAGGTTTTTCGAGATTGACTTGAGTATTTAGATACCATCATACTGAGGCTAATAGGACAGAAGAACCGGGTCAACACTCCATGATAGGTCAATACTGACAATGTAGTCGGTAGAGCATTACTCACTCTTCATCTGTGTTACTATGAGCTTCGTTACACCGCCCGAAGGTATTGGCGAGCTGAGCTTCTTGTGACGCTAGCATGATGTTGCGGGCGTAAGGTGCGTGAGATGACTTGGATGTCTGTTATCTTCTCCTCGAGCAAACCATGAAATATCCATGTCACGAGCTCTCTGCTCGCATTCCGAACCATGTTGCCAAGGTTGACATTCATATTCTCTTCGATCTGTTGCCCGTTTTTCTGCTAATGTTTGAGCACCCTAAATTTTGGAATGGATGTATTGGACAAGAAACACCAATTCGAGGTCAGCAGCCAGGTCAGATGGCAGATGGAAAAACTCGTTTCCTTGCAACAGCTATAACACTGGCTGTCTATCATTGGTTCTGCATTTCACTACTGTGTCATCTCAAGGTGCGACTCGAAAAGAGTAGCCAGCTCAAGTCTCAATGAGGATGGTAGATCTGTCACGGGTTGGATTCCAACTACGGCTGCTCCAGGACCCAGTAACGTAAGTGAACCATATTCAAACTCAATGACTTGAAGCCAAGTGAAGTAAATGACTGTGTGGCCTATTCGAAAGGTTCGCCGGTTGCTTTTTTTGCCCGTGTAGAGGCGCATGGCGAGCCAGCCCGTCGCAGGAAAATGATTGTGTTTGTGACACTAAGGTAGCCCAAGATATTTCCTCAATCTCTGCTTCTTGGAATGTACGTTCAACTGGGACTCGTCTAGAACTCGTCCAAAAACGCTTGTTGGAAATTGGAGGTCTCTCCAAACCTTCGTCTTTGAGAACTGAAGTTGTCAAATTGCCTTTTGTCAGACTGCCATCTGCACCAGTTAATGAACCCTGACAAGAGTAAGGCATCAGCTTGTAATGGGCAGAAACCACAATGTCACTGTTTGGCAAATGCGAGATTCAACTTTTTCCAACCTTGATGATGCTAGACCCGGATACGTGGAGACGATCGACAATCTCCTGTTGCGGACATGCCAAAAGGATCACTCAAGAGGGTTTCGACTCCCCAGGGTTGCTTCAACACTCCTTTCAGAGCGGCCACAAACTCTATCGTTAGAAAGTCTTTGAACATACATGTAGGCTTCGCAATCAATAGCGGCAAGTCAAACGACCCTGTGAGCAATCTCTCCCGACCATGTTGTTGTGAACTTCGCTAATGCGCCGTGAACTATGCTAAAGATGAGCTCGTGCCACGATCTCAGCAAAGGCTATCCCCAATTTCAATGAGGATAAGATGTGCACGTGGAAAAGCGAGAGGAAGCATACCCTAGCAGCCTCACTATTGACATCCTGCCTCTTACACGTTAGTGGATGACGAAGCCAGCGGGAGGCACTGCCTAATAGTCTCATAAACAAGCATCTTCCTGACTGGCAGCCCCCATTTCAGGTTCTAAGTGGATCCCAAAGCTCGCATTCTCTATGTGTAGAAACGATCAGAGCAACCCACGACCAAACACGTCAGCACAGCTCAGGTAGATATCATGTGAGTCCCGAATCTATATCAACTCGATGACCGTTGGTTTTAAGGGGGGCCTAAGAGAACAACTAGTCATCGACGATCGGCTGAGAATGAGGCGCCTTTGCCCATAGGTGCTGTGAACTCGCAGGCATGGACCAGGATACTGCTAGCACGTCGGACTACGTGTATGACAGTGATTAGGGCCTTCCATTGCCGGTTCGATGGCCGATCAGGGAACACATCCACTTGTTCTTTCCATGCAACGAACATCCCTCGACTGGCCAGCTTCATCATCATCTGCCGTTGAATGCCCCACAGATCAGCTGCAGGAGATCGAGAAAGAAACGTTAGATGGGCTGGGCTAGTCAAGCAGCTTTCCAGCTCGCGCACGGTCTTGCGGAGACCTAGGCTGTTCTAGAATTCAGATGAACCAGAATGCTTTGTGGCCGTACTGTGTAGGTCTTGCCTACCTGCTTCGTGGCGACTTTGGCGTTGGAAATTGAAAATTGAAAAACATTGGTATGCCGATTTGCAATTTTCGTAAAAACTTCATACGGGGCTTCAAAAACGAGTCTGCTCTGCAAGAAATGCTACGTTGATCTTCTCGAGACCTTCCCATTTAGAAGCTTTGGGCTGAAAGTGTCGTTACTTAGATCATGCAAACTGGGTTCTCCTACAGCCACACAGACAGTGCTAAGATGCCTTGATCAATGCCATACACGCCGAGACGTGTGAACCTCCTCACCTCGGCAAAAGCCTTATGGCAACTTCCCTGCAACAACGAACTCAACAGCGCAAACTACGTCACATCTGAAACAGACGCACACACGGAGCTTCTGGTCCTTCTGGCGGTTGAAATATCAGGGCGGACGCTGGGCGTTCACAGCTTAGGGCAAAGCTGGGGAGGGAGGAGAATTAAAGACCGGGAGGTTTAAAACCACACATGCGCGTTCGGTCCGCTTTCTTCGAACGTGGGCTCCTTCGATTAAACGCCTTTCCTTTTGCCAACCCACAATCGCCGCCGTCACCAATTCCCGAGTCGACATGTTGTATCAAAGCATCTCACATGCTATTGCATTATACAAGCTTGAGCAGTCTACGAAGCAATGCAAAGAGATATACACAGGCAAGCCTAAGCCGGAAAAGGTCACATTGTTCTGGCACTTAGTTACCCTGTCACGATTCAACAAGTACAACCCTCTATTCACTACTTTTGCTGGAGGTTAGTCTTTGATTATGACAGAGTCTGGTTGTGCAACGCTCACACTGGTATAGTCTGGTCGGTTTTGTTGGCTGGTGCTTCCGAACTCGTCGATCCCAACAGCAACATTCAACCTGCCTTTGTCTTCAGACAGGCTACGCTATGCTTCATCGCAGCCTACCTATTTTGTGGCGCCGGTATGGTCTGGAATGACTGGGTAGACCGAGATATCGATGCCAAGGTTACTCGAACTAAAGACCGTCCTCTGGCCGCGGGCATCGTGACCACCACGGATGCGATGCTGTGGATGGTGCTCCAGCTGCTCGTGTCTTTGTCCATTGTCCACAATATGCTCAATGGAAAGGATGTGTATGGCCACCCGATTTCCTCATCCCAGATGGTTACATGGACAGGGATTCTAACGTTCGTCATCAGATTCCGACACATGTTCCCAGTGGTATTGGCTTCAGCGCTATACCCCTATGGCAAACGACCCATGGCTTTGAAGCTTCGGATATACCCACAATACATCTTGGGGTTCACGATTGCATGGCCTGCAGTTCTGGGTCGATCCGCGATTCACGGTCGGTACGAGTCGATTGGTGATAGCATCGGTTATTGTTTGCCGCTTTGCTTCATGGTATTCTTCTGGATCATCTACCTCAACACAGCCTACAGCTACCAAGACATCGTCGATGATCAAAAGATCAACGTCAACTCATTCTACACTGTTGGAGGGCGCCACTTCCATCGGTTCCTTCTTGTACTGGTCAGCCCAATCGTCATGTGTATGCCTCTGTACCTTCTAAGGTTCGGGTCTCTATGGCTTTGGTTCAGTTGGATGGGAATATGGACTGCGTCCTTTGCAGCACAGCTGGCGCACTTCGACTCGGATAAACCATCGAGTGGAGGAGGTATACATAAGAGCAACTTTGTTCTTGGAGTGTGGACTATTGCTGCTTGTGCAGTTCAGGTCCTTTTGAGCGAACAGCGGTCTGTGAGATTTTGAAATGATACCACGGTGGAGAAAAATTGGACGAAAACGGTCAAGACTTCGCTAGTGAGGAAGCCTGAACTCTGAAGGTCAAACAGCGGAACTTTTTGCAATTAAGCATCGAATTTCATGCAATTTCTATTCTCAAATATTATATGTGTCCGGTAGTTTGGATGATGTGCACTCAGTGACACCCACCAACCTTGATGAGCTTGTCAAGGAACAAAGAAGAACCTATGTCATCGAATGTCCGTATTACGACGCCAAATGCTATTCATGGCTTACGACAATTTTGTTTGACATTTGATCTACATGAGCTGTATCATCTCGGATGTCGCGCAGTGTGATTCAATTTTCCATAGATTTTGTCGAATCTTCAAAAGAGGTACCGCGTGAATTTGTTGATATACGAAGCTCATTTCGACATAGATGTGATTCTGGTCATCAAAGCCCTCAGAACTCGTATCCATAGCCTCCTCCAATACGACCTGTGAGCCCGAAAAGATCGGCGACCCATCCCAGAAATCCCACAACCCAGCCTAGAAATCCAAAGATCAGAAGATCCGGCGTGCCAAAGATGCGTTCTTTGAACTTCAGACCGGGGACCTTCTGCTCCAACGTCCTCGGATCATCCAGATAGTAGTTGAACCGCGTACCCATCAGCTTGAAAGTAGAGTTGAGAAAGAAGCTTGCGGTGTAATACGTGAGCGACCCAATGGCATCGAAACGGATCTCGCCGTGGACTCCGCGCTGCCGAAAGTAGTTCACGATCCGTCGCAAGAGGCCATACATCTCGTCGGGGGTGAGGTACGGCGTCAAACCTTCGAAGAGAATCAGCACTGGTCGGTCCGTGGGGATATTGCTGTTGCTTAACCACGCGTCGTCGTGGATATTCGGATCTATCAATCGGTATTCGCCCTTGCCAGTATTCGGATCCTTTATGACCTGCCGTCGAAGCTCGATTACATCGTGTCTGTCTGCGTCGATCCACAAACGGCCCTCGCCCTGCCATTTGACACGAAGACTACGCGAATCCATGCCGCACGCCAGGTGCAAAACGGTAGCCGGGCCTGGATTCCTCCTCAGAAACTTCTCGGTGCAGATGTCGAGCATGCGAGCGCGCATCGAGACCGAGCTCGCAAACATGACTGTGGTGGGACCGCCGGCCGTTGTGCGCTTGAAGTCATACCCCTGGTCCTTGATCTGAGAGACAATATCGAGTGCATATTGATCATTCAAGATCGGACGCGAAGACTCGGCATCTTTTGCGCGGGCAAAGAGCGTCAGTAAGAGGGTTTCCTGTGCACCGCTGAGGGTCACTTTGCCCTTTCCGAGCCCACCGGATGAAGCTGATGAAGGCATTATATGTGTTGCTATCCAGTCTGTTATCGGGTAGGTGTATGAACGGTGGCGATGTGAGAGAAAACAGCCCACAAGTTGCCTTGGTTTTGAGAAACTCTCTTTGCCGTAGACAGTCCTAATTCCGTGCCTCGGTACATGCTGATAGCCAAGCTAGGCAGCTGCTAGGAGCTTGCTGGTCAAGCCGTGCATCGCGCATTCGGAAAGGCGTTCTGTCGGCTGTGAAACTTTGCGCGACTCGCTTCATCTGATCTTTTCTATCCTGTCCACTGGACGTGACTGGAGGCATTGTTGGCTGTTTACATGCATGAGATGCGTCATCGAATTGAAAGTGTGATAATACGAAAGGAATGACAATCCTCGGGTTCGCCATCGTACCCAAAGTCCACAGTATCGAAGATCGTGCAGGGCTCTAACAACTCAGAGACATAACAACGGGAGTCACGGTGCAGTTCCAAGATTCGTTGGGATGGAATACTCGGCCGAAAGACTGCACTCGGCGGCCGCCAGTAGATGTCAAAGTTGTAGAAAACTCCAGATAAAGTCTATAAGAAAACGAATCCCAGGAGCACGTCCTCAGCCTCCCATTGAGCCAACCATTGTTGACGAGTGATGCTTCTGAAGGATCAGGAACAGAGGCTTGGTGGTGCCCAGCGATTGAAAGGTGCATGAAGAAAGCCAGGGTTACACAACGACATTTCCCCCAGTGAACGGATTACCGTTAAGTAATGGTCGGATTCAGGAGTCACCGAGAAACCGAGCGTTCATCTGATAAAGCCGCCGTGGTTCCTTTGGCGTATGTGCCATATCGCGGTGGCTTAGCAGGTAACTCAAGATAGCTGGTGACGGTAGCCGCGCGGGTGAAATTATCTTCGTAAGATTTCAGAAGAGAGACTTTCTTTCAAGAACTCAAGAAGGGGGATGCTCGCTTCCTATATGTTGTCCGCATATGCTCATTACCCTTGTAGTAAGCGGCATCGGGTTGCTCCCCGCTCACCGTCCAGCCCTCCCCGCATGACGAATGTCCACCACAATTGACAGGTCGAACTTCTGGTCTGAGCGCGATCGATGACCCAGAGTCCCGCTAACCCGGAGTTGTCAATTGAATCCTCAACGGCACTGCTGTGCCGCTCAAGGTCTAATATTCTATCGTAACCGATCCGCGGAATACTCAATCACTCGCCATCGCGTCATCACGCTTAAAAAGTCTTGGCTCCGCGATTCAGCGTCTCTCCAGCCTCCCACATGGCGTGTAAGATCAGCGCAAATTGAATTGAATGTCAGGCAGAGTCATGGCAGCGGGAGATTTTCTGCATTGAGGAACTCTGAGAACGGAATGTAACACCAAATCCGGGCGGCAGCCCTCCGCGCGGACATCGAAAGTGAATTTACCGTACAGCGTTGCATCCAGAGGATCCAAACCCTGCCTGATCAGGTTTTAATCTGACATATTTAACCACAAGGCGGACTTGGCGTTTGAAGAAAATGGAGATTCAAGATTGTCGCTGAGAGACCAAATGTAACAATACTTCGTACGCTCACTGCCTTGCTCGAAACTCAGATGAGAAAGAGAAAGAAAGGTTCCGGGGTAAGAAGTAATCCATACGACTCAAAACTTATAACAGCATGCTGCGGCAAGATTTGAAGTACTGGGACCGTTTAGGGGGACAGATAATTCTGTGGACACTCCCATTGCGTTTTACTGTGTAACTGCCGCGCTCCACGCGAAGCAGATAATTCTGATCCACATCACTAGCACTTGCGATCACGTCCCACGATAAGCAGCCTATATGACTCGTAAGAGACTCCCCTTACACTCTGGGCCTTGTCAATTTCCACACACACTCGCAATGAATAGCATAACGTGACAACGGTCAAGTTCTGTTTCTGGAAAACATTGCAGCACTCGCCATTCGTTACCCTGGCTGCAGTCCGAGCGCGAGCCAGCCACGGAGCCCAATGAGGAAACCGGTCTGCGCCGGCAAGGACAACGGGAGCGTAATGGATGGGAACAGAGGATGCATTTATCCCAGACTCACCCCGCCTCCCGTGCCCTTTCCCCCCAGCGAAATGGTCCGTCCTCGACTCGGACCCGAGTTTGTCGACTGCTTCGACAAAACCAGCCATGGATGACATCTTTTGCATCTTGTCTAGCCGCCAAGAGGATGGCAGCTTATCGATTTCGGAGTTCAACACGGCCCAAGAGAGGGCGTTCGGGGTCAATGGATCCTTGATCATCGTCATAGTCTTCGTGATGGGTGTCAGGTTATACACGAGGTTCTCCATCACGAAGTCCATTGGGGCTGATGATTGTACGTGTCATTGGGGCAGCTTGTTAGTCGGTGAGTTCTTGCTAATCAACGCGATTCTCTAGTTATGATGATTGCCGGGACCGTGAGTAATATATCATTCCCAAAGCCACAAACTTTATTTGACGCATAATGCGATGTAGATTGCCACAATCTTGCAGTCTGTTTTCGTCATGAACTCTGTGAGACACGGCCTAGGAAGAATCAGTGAGCTGGACCAAACAAGGCCTGAGTTTCTTCTGCTAACTGGAGGCAGGAGCTGATATACCGTTCAATGAGTGGGAGCCAATGTTGCTAGTATGTTTGACCGGATGTTTGCTGAGTTTCCCCGAAGGTTATGTTTCTAAACATGGACTGCAACTTACTAACCTTACTCCTTTGTGCAAAGTCACTCTATATCTCCCGATTGTTCTTCGCTGTCGGCAACGTCCTCGTCAAAGTCGGCCTTCTGTTATTTTATCTGCGCCTCGATAACCGACCAACGATGCGGTGGACGGTGTATGGACTCATGGCGGCAGTGATCGGATTGGGAATCTGTCACTTCGTCATGTCCGCCATCGAATGCAACCCTGCCAAGGTATACTGGACATCCAAAGGGGATCACGAAATCTATGCGGAATACTGCATGCCGGCTGCGGTACAACAGGCATTCTGGGACGCCGCCGGGGTGATTGTCATTGTCACAGATATTTGTCTTTGGATCTGTCCGATTCCCATGATCTGGGGCTTGCAATTGCCGCAGGTACTTTCATTTTGAACATACCTCTAAAGTTCCTCGCGTTTGCTAACATGGAATGATAGCGGCAAAAGTGGGCGGTATCGGCAGTGTTTGCGTTGGGAGTGGTTTGCGTTGCAGGTGAGTCAGACTTCGGTGATACAGTCGTCCAAGGGATTGAATTCTGGAAAAGTCAGGCAACTGACCGGTGTTTATAGCTGGCTGCGTGCGCTTCTACTACGTCCGACAATTGGCAAACGAACCCGAGATATACCGGCAATTCGCCAGCTCGCTCATCTGGTACGCCGTTGAGCTCTACGTCGCCATCTTCTGTGGGTGCTCATCTGCACTTAAGGCGTTCTTCAAGACGTTCTTTCCCGCACTGCTCGGATTTTCTTCGTGCAAAACAAAGTATCCGTTAGGGAGCAATGGCAAAGAAGGGCAGGGGAATGGAACGCGATCTTCGTATCCTCTACAGAGTCTGCCGAGCCGACATACCGGATACAAAGCTACCATCACATCGAGCGGGAGAGGGAGGGGAGAGGAGACGAATATGGGGAATGCATCAAGAAACGACAGTGAAGAGGCTATCATGCACGGGGTTTCAGGAGGCTGGGATACTCTCAAGGGGGCGGAAGTGAAGCAGAAGATCAGTAGAGCTTCTACTGATTCGAACTTGAAGTAATGAAGTGCTTATGCATGGTTGCAGGGGGCAGAGCACCAAAGCCGCGCTGTCGGGCATCTTTATGTGACACAATGTCAGTATTTACTCTTTATGCATGTATGAATGACCTGATTCCCTTGTTGATTTCTAAATACTCAAGCTGCTCTAACCAACTTATCTGTATGTGACTTTGCAGTCACATGAAGTGCGGGATCTCGAGCGCTTTCAGACGTGATCGGAAACCGAATCCCAGGTTCCTCCAGCTCCCGAGTCCCACTCCGCTCCCGAAACTCCGCCGGTTCAATCTCCGCATTTGAACCTCGACGGCTTCCTGTGAGGTTAAAACCCATGCCGCGAGGCCCGCGAGTGCTAGCGCCAACTCTAGAAAGCACAGGCGCCGGCGACGCGCCGTTTGGATTCGTAACATTGTCCCCGCAGCTGCATGTCGTGGTTGGCGGAGTTGAATTGAGTTTCCCGGGGGGTTCAGTCGACACTCGAAAGACCTCGCGTGTAAGTCGCCAGCTTCGTCGGGTTCGGTATGAGAATGCGAAATTTATGACAACGACGGCGGACGAGGAGGAGAACCTTTTTAAAACATTGGTCTAATGACATTCATGACGAGGTATATAAATATCCGACTTCAACTTCGTGAATGCCTTCTGGACCTTAAAGTAAACCAAGTCCTCTGTCCTCACCCTTGATCTCCCATTTACAACTAAGAAACGAACCTTCTATAAACCAGTAAGAATGTCTAGATACGCCGAAGCCTTCCAGACCCCCAAGGGACCAGGCGATGCTCGCCCAACAGCCCTCCAAATCATCCAAGACGAAGGCCTCGTCGGGAAACTCACCGGCAAGACCATCCTCATCACCGGCGCAAACCAAGGCATCGGCCTCGAAACAGCCCGCGCGCTCTACCAAACCGGCGCCACCATCTACCTCGGCGTCCGCAGCCGCGAAAAGGGCGAAAAGGCAATCGCAGACATCACCGCCTCAACCAAGACCGAAACCTCCGGGTCTCTAGACTTTGTGGAAATGTCCCTCGACGACTTTATCTCCGTCCGCAAAGGCGCGCAGAACTTCTTGTCCAAGAGCAACGGCAAGCTCAACATTCTCGTCAACAATGCAGGCATTATGGCCCAGACAAAGACCATAACTAAAGACGGCTTCGAATCGCAGTTTGCCACGAACCACCTGGGCCACTTCCTCCTCTTCCAGCTCCTTAAGCCCGCCCTCCTCGCGTCCGCAACGCCGGATTTTGCGTCCCGCGTTGTCGTCGTGTCGTCCATGGCCCACCGCGCCGGCGATATCCGCTTCGAGGATGTCAACTTTGACGAGGAGGGATCGTATGTGCCGTACACGGCATACGGCCAATCCAAGACGGCCAATATTTACTTCTCCAACGAGGTTGAGCGGCGCTATGGGGCCTCGCGGAACTTGCACTCCACTTCGCTCCATCCAGGCGCCATCTTGACCAGCATGGCTGCGTCGCAAAACGTCGACGTGGACGCGATCAAGGCCAGCATGGGAGAGGAGACGTTCAACAAGCTCATGAGCACGCTCAAGAACCCGGAGCAAGGGGCCGCTACCACCGTTTATGCCGCCGTGAGTAAAGAGTGGGAGGGTAAGGGCGGGAAATATCTCAACGACTGCGCTGAGGGCGGACCTGGTGTCGGTGGATTCACGCCTGCGACGACGGATCCTGGGTATGCTTCGTGGGCTTACGATGAGGAGAAAGCTGCGCGGTTATGGAGGGAGTCGTCCAAAATGGTTGGAGTTGAGGATGATGCTTAGCACTTTTGTCCTGTGATGATGGGCTTGCCATGGGTTATCCGAGTGAGGAATCTTAGATCCTCCTTGCCGTCAGCACTATGCATCTTTCGGTCATCGCTGTCAGAGAGGTATGCATGTCGTAAGCGGACACCAATGCCCTGGATAAAATAGAGACTACGTTAGCACTAGCTATTGGCGGAAATGCGATGGACTTAACCCAAATCTCACGTAGCCCAGGCTTTCAACCTGCCAAGTGCTTACATGTGGGCAACCGTGAGAATCGGCTACGATTATCCCCGCATGAGCTTTGATGAACCGATGGGATAGCTAGGTTGGGTTCACTGTACATGCAAGCCAGGGCCAGATTCTTTCTCGCCGATAAAAGCACGCCGTCTGCCACTGGGGACTAAATGTTTGCGTAATGGTAAATCTATAGTCAACCGGCTCTTTCATCAGAAACTTGCACAAATACACGTCGAAACCTGTCAAAATGGCGTCCGACTCTATGCCACCAGACTTCTACGTCAAGGCCCTTCAATTCACAAAGAAGGCCTACAGAGATGAATACCCAGCTATCAAACCAGAGAACCCAGAGCTTTCTCTCGCCGGTAAAGTTATTGTGATCACCGGCGCGAGCCGCGGCATCGGTGGCTGGGTAAGTCCTCTCGCGTCCTAGACATTTATTGACCTACACCCACTCTCCTTCTTTGTAATGCTTGAACTCACCAGCGCCCAGGGAATTGTACCGGCATTCGCGAGAGCTGGAGCGAAAGCCCTCGTTCTTGTGGCCAGGGACGAGAAGAAGCTCACAGACGTCGCGGCCAAGGTCAAGGAGCTCAACTCCAATGTCGAAACACTCGTCTATCCCGTCGACATGACAGACGAAGCAGGCGTCAAGGCCCTCTTCGAAAAGGTCAACGCAACGTACGGCCACGCAGACGTCCTGGTCAACAACGCCGCCGTGCAGAAATCTCTCGAGCTCATCACAAACAGCGATCCGAAACTCTGGATGGAAGACCTGGTAAGTAGATAGTCCACAAGCTCCCCTTCCTGACCTTGATGATACGAGTATAATAACTTCCTTGCTAACAAACTTTGAAAACACAACTAGACCACCAACATCAGCGGAACCTTCTACCCAACTTTTCATTTCCTCAAATCCCTCCCCTCGACCTCGCACGCCCACATCATCAACATCACCACGATAACCCACTGGGTCGTGCCCACCATGAGCTCCTACATCATCGCCAAGCTCGCGACGCAGCAGCTCAACGCCCACGTCGCCGCCGAGCACCCGTACAACGTCACCACCGTCTCGGTGCACCCGGGCATGGTCCACACCGACATGACCATGGACCGGTTCCGCCCCTTTGCGCACGATACCCCCGCGCTCGTCGGCGGGACGGCCGTCTGGCTTTGTTCGGAGCAGGCGCGGTTCCTGAATGGGAGGTTTGTCGCGACCAATTGGGATGTCAAGGAGTTGATGGAGCGGAAGGCGGAGATTGAGGAGAAGAGATTGCTGCAAATTGATTTGAATGGGCAATTTGGGGCGCAGCAGTTCGAGTAAGAGAGGTTGGTTCAGCACGAGAGTGCTTGGGAATATTGAGTTAGGATCAGTCAACGCCGACGAATGTGTGGGAGAGTGATTCAAAATGAACATGTGATTAGTCTAGATTCATAAGTATCCAGCTCTATGTCTATATCATGAGATCTACCCGAAAATCCCCAAATATTCTGCGCCATGCAATGCTCCAGGGTATACAGTGACAATGATGGTACAAAAAAACGAACTCTATATACCGAAACCGATTCCCAACACTTTTTACACAACTCATAAACCATCTTAGGCCTCAGTCCTAGGAGGCCACTTGACACGCCTCTCGGCGCGTACGTACAGGTTGTTCGGGCGGATGAGCTGGAACATGGGATCGTACTCGACCGGGCCCTCCTGCGCCAGGCTGAACTTGTAACGGTAGATGAGCTTGGGAAGGAAGACCTTGACCTCCTGCAGGGCAAAGTTGAAGCCGATGCACATGCGCGGGCCGGTGGCGAAGGGGATGTACGAGGCATTGGGGCGGTTCTTGACCTTGTCAGAGTCCCAGCGGTCCGGGTCGAAGCGGGCCGGGTTATCCCAGACGAGGTGGTTGTTGTGGATGTGGTGGATGGCGGGAATGCAGATGGAGTCCTTGGGCAGCTTGTAGCCGCCGGGGAGGATCATGTCCACCTTTGAGGTGCGGGCGGGCTGGTAGGAGGGGTTGTGGCGGCGCTGGGTCTCCTTGATGTACTTGTCGAGGAAGGTCAGCTTCTGGGTGAGATCGGCGGTGATTTGGGTGTTTTCGTCAAAGCCGTTGTCGATGAGCTCCTGGAGGAGGCGCTCCTGCATGCCGGGGTAGGCAACGATGCCGTAGAGGAGCCAAGAAAGGAGGGAGGAGGTGGTGGTGAAGCCGGCGCCGGTGGCGACGACAAGGGGCTCCATGATGCGCTCCTTGGGCAGCTTGTTGCCCTTGCTGTCGCTGGCGCGAAGGACGTAGTCGACCATGTTGTCGGCCTGGAGGGCGGCCTCCTGCAGCTCGAGGTTCTCGACACCCTTGGAGGCGTTGTTGATGGACTCGTTCATCATCTCGACAATCCGGCCGCGGGCGTCGCGGAGGCGCTGAGGGTCACCGAAGGGCAGGGAGGCGTACCAGCTACCCATGGAGGTGATCTTCTTGTTGAGCTCGAGAGACTGGGCGATGCGGATGACCATCTCGTGGGGCGGGGCATCGACGGCGGTGAAGTGCTTAAAGTCCATGCCGAGGACGAGCTTGCCGACGGCCTGGGAGCCGAGCTTGAGCATGTAAGGATAGACGTTCCAGGCCTCCTCCTTCTCGTCGAGCTCGTCAAAGACCTTGAAGGAGTCCTCGATAGTGGCCTGCATGGTCGGGGCGTAGTGACGGACGGCCTTGGGGCCGAAGGCGGGCGGGAGGAACTTGTGAACCTCCTTCCACTCGGGAGTATCAGTGTCACCGAGGAAGACTCCGGATTCCTTGTTCTTGATGGGGTACAGCGGGTGACCGGGGATGATGTTCTTTGTGAAGAAGTCGCTCTCGGAGAAGAAGATGTTGGCGATGGCCGGATCGTTGGTGTGGTAGATGACGGAACCCATGTTGGTGGTCTTGAAAATGGGGCCGTACTTCTCGAAGAGGCGCTGGTGGTTACCGAGATGGTCGGGGTAGACCTCGAAGTAGTTGCCTATGAAGGGCAGACCCGAAGGGCCGGGGACTTCGCGAACGGGGTGGCCGTCAATGGTGATGGCGACGGGGCCCTCGGCGGCGAGGACATCGGCGACTGTCGTCAGAGCCTCATCTCCAGAGACGAAGCCAACGCCTTGTAGTTGTGTTAGTTCGTTGCCAAGGATCCATGATATGGCGGGATATTGGGCTTACCCTTGTGGTCGACGACGGCAAAGTGAGAGGCGGCGAGATGTTGAAGACCTTCCTCGTCTGTTGAGGCGGGAATCTCGAACTCTGTTACGACTGAAGGGTCTTCACCCAACAGGTGGAAGCGTTGTGATGACATGGTGTAGGATGTGATGTGTGGATGGAGTAGGAGGAGCGCACGAATCTGGAGATGTCCAAATAATTGTATTCAGGATGTACGAAGTAGTAGTAGTGAAGTAGATAAGACAAGACTTCAACCCAAAAGCTGCTGTGCCAGATGGAGGGGGATGCAACCCGTTGACGATATATAAGAGAAAAAAAGAGATCGCAATCAAAACAGTACGTACCTATGGAACATCACAATATGGCGCAGCTTATCCAATCCGATCCCAGGCAATGCCAATTCTTTTGGTGGGAACACACACAAACACACAGACCGAACAGCTGGCCGATGAGTGACGAGCGAAGAAAAAAGTGGCCTGCCGAGGTTCATCTCAAGGTCCCCTTGACCCAAGGGCCATGACTTCATGGGCGGCGCTCAAGTCCGAAAAACAAGCGGGCCGTGAGAGTGAGACGAATCCATTTGTATATCGGCTCCGTGGCCGGCGTGGGAACAGTGGAACACGGCGAAACCAAGCAACAGACTCGTACATAGGTTCCAGACTGCAAGTGCAGAGTCAAAAAAAGATGTGGGCGCGGACGGAGAAGAGCCGCGGTTCTGGCATGATGACAGCGGAAACCTGAACCATCGCGGAAGGAGGATGAATGCAAGAGAAAAATCGGAGATTTGGAGCACGTTTGATGCGCCGCGATAGGGCTAAACAAGGGTGATCTGCGCTAGAGGCGTCCAGGTGCCGAGGCGAAAGGGCCAGGGGTGGGTGCTTGGCTTTGAACTTTGGTGCATTGAATGATTTGATAAGCTCCAAGATGGTCTTTCTCGAAGGTCGGAAGTGGGAAAGGAGGCCACATTGACAGAGGGAGAGACGAAAGGGAGCAGAGAGAAAGCTGCAGAATTTTGCAGAGCAGGGGTGGCAGAGTGGGGGTCCATCGTGGCTGACTCTAGGTACGTACCGAGGGCTTAAGTGGCTCCGTCGCCGTTTTGTCGCCGCTCAAGTCCCGAAGTCCGTGGCCTCGGCTCGTTTTATGCCACCTACGTAATCTCTGCCTGTTTTCATTGGACCACGCACCACCGAGCTTTGGTCGTAAATGGCATGATGCATCCAATCATCGGCCGTCTTCTTCCGGATACCGTCCGCTTGTGGGTCTCTTGTTATTTGCGTCAGTTCTGCCACTCGGCCCCTGAGACCGAACCGTTAGTTACCGTACCGCTGCTATGCTCTGATTTCTTCGATAACAACCTCGAGGGCACGGATTTCCAGTGCAGGAACGAATCTCGCAGTTGCTACCTTAGTGTTAGTACACTAGACAGAGCCGCGGCCCATCTCTTGGCTTTCCGGTAGTCTCTAAAGTGGCATCCCTATCCGTGTCTGTGACGATGTTGGCTTTACACTTTCTTGTCCTAGTTCATCTCTATTTAATTTTAGGCTTGGCTGATTTGCGATGAAGATCGCACTTTTTTTCTGCCTCCCTCGTTCTCGCAAACCAACACTTCAAGAATTCTGCTCTCATAGCACGTAAGAATGCATCATATGGAGGCGCTGGGTAGGTGTAGAAATGATGGTAAAGAAGGGAACCGAGTCGTGCATTTCTCTGAAATCAAGGCATAAACGTCAATCAAGTCATCAACCCGCTCATTGTGTCGGGACCGCCGAGGCACATCGCCGTAAGTGGGTCCGGTTCCCGACATCCAATCCCGTGCCTTCGCTTTGTCAGTCGCCCCCCACCCGCCGACCGCCGGCCGAATCTTTCCAGATTCATCTCTTCTGCTCATTCCAAATGGATCCCAATCCTAGCTCCTAATGGTCCCAAGCTTTGGGAACGTTTTGGAGCTTTCGAAAGGAAAGCTCCATAACTTCGTTCCCTGGGCTCCATCGACTTTATCGCGCAGAAGAACGCGCGCAGGGTCCCCCGATGATGCCCACACTTTATCTCTGTGCCTCGGCATCTTTGCCCTTCGGACATTACCCTTGTTTCCTTTTGTTTTTTTCGTTCTCATTCTCATCCAATGCAAAGTGAGGTGTATCTTCTGACGAGTGACGACGATTCTGGAATTCCTCTTGTAAATTGTGGATATACCTAGGCATCTTTTCCGCTGGCAAATGTCGCCATGGCCTCGCCATCTTTCGATAAATAGGAACGCTGCACTTCCCCCCCGTTCCGAAGCCCGGCCCTCTGAAGTAAAAGGGGTCTTATTCATTGTAACCTTGTCCACACATCACGATCGACATCGATCTTTCCCATTTCTTAGATAAGATAGTAAAATTCTCTTTGATATCATCAGCGCGACACGACTTTGCAACAGCGTAACACTACTGCTTCTCACCCCGCCCCCTTTCCCATCTTCGACCATCTCTCAGAGATACCAATATTACATACACATTCACAATGGCGGCTACAGAGTCAACAGTAGGCCCCGAGTTCACGGCCAAGGAGGTTGCCGCGCACAGAGAGGCAAACGACTGCTGGATGGTAATCCACGGTGAAGGTAAGCTCAACCCCCCTCCCAAAGTCGCTCTCCGAACTTGCCCACAGACCACGAATCTAACCACCAAATAACAGTCTACGATGTCTCAAAGTACCTCCACGACCACCCCGGTGGCGCAGATGTCCTCGTCGAGGCCGCCGGCGTCGACGCCTCAGAAGCCTTCGACAACGCAGGCCACTCCGAAGACGCCTACGAGATCATGGCCGACTTCAAGGTCGGCAAGCTCAAAGGCGTGAACAAGCGCTCCGCTCCCAAGGCCGTCCGCCTCCAGCCCAAGGCTACCCCCGAGAAGAAGACCTTCTCCGGCTCCGGCTCAGCAGCCCGCGTCGCATCCCAAGCCGCTGCTGCAGCCCTCTTCATCGGTCTCGGCGCCGTCGCCGCCCGCCACGCCTCCTCCACACCCGCCGGCCAGGACGCCATCGCCGCCATTCAGAGACTCAACATCCAGTTCCCCGCATGGCTCTCCTTCGGCAGCGGTGCCGCCCGCTCCAAGCGCACCGGCTTCGGCTTCATGGAGGGCTTCGCCGTCGCCTCAGCCTTCTTCGCCGTTGCGGGCTCCATCGCCGCAAAGGAAGCCTCCAAGCTCCTCCACTACGAGCTCACGCCCATGCACTACCGCCCGCACAAGAAGATCCCCAAGGTCGCAAAGGCAAACCCCCTCAACCAGCGCGGCTGGCTCGACCCCGTCTCCTATCACCCTCTCCCTCTCGTCGAAAAGACCCTCCTCGCCCCCAACGTCTACCGCTTCGTCTTCGAGCTCCCCACCCCGACCACCGTCCTTGGCCTGCCCATCGGCCAGCACGTCGCCATCAAGGCCGAGATCGACGGCAAGTCCGTCTCCCGCTCCTACACGCCCACCTCCAACAACGCCGACATCGGCAAGCTCGAGCTCGTCATCCGCTGCTACCCAGACGGCGCCCTCACCGGCAACTACCTCGCCAACCTTGAGGTCGGCGACGAGGTGCAGTTCCGCGGTCCCAAGGGCGCCATGCGCTACCGCCCCAACCTGACAAAGAAGATTGGCATGCTCGCCGGCGGCACGGGCATCACCCCCATGTACCAGCTCATCCGCGCCATCTGCGAGGATGACCGCGACACCACCGAGATCAGCCTCATCTACGCCAACCGCTCCGAGGCCGACATCCTCCTGAGGGACGAGCTCGAGGCCTTTGCGAGAAAGTACCCCAAGAACTTCAAGCTGCACTACCTCCTCGACTCGCCGCCTGAGAACTGGGCCTACGGCACTGGATACGTCACGCAGGAGATGATGGCCGAACGGTTCCCCGCGCCCGGTCCGGACTCCCGCGTCATGCTCTGCGGCCCGCCTGGCATGGTCAACGCGGCCAAGAAATCGTTGGTGAACCTGGGCTTCGAGAAGCCTGGTGCCACTTCCAAGATGTCTGATGCCGTTTTCTGCTTCTAAGCTGCTTCGCTTGTTGGGGGAATGACATAGAGAGATACCATGGGAAGTTGTGATTATCGTTTTTTTCCGGAACTATTTCTTTTCTTGTGTCAATATCCATGGGTTGCATCGTAACGGAGTCGAGGAATAGGTGCATCGGGGTTGGTGTCTGGATTGATGACATCCCATCTGTACCATTGTTGATACCTTCCTGTAATAGACTACAACATCTCCTTTGTCATCTTTAGAGATCGAAATGAACAACCATAACAAACGCTTAAGCTCCGCAACTCCTTATTCCTTAACTCCATTAATTTCGGTCTCCCAGACCCTCACAGTCTCACCGATTTTTTCCCATTCATACTCCTGACTGGATATTTTACTGGCAACCTTCATGCATGCTGCCAGGACGAAGCGTCCACCCTCCAGTGTCCCTCCTTGTTCCCTAATCCCAGGATGATGCTCGCTTGATTCTGTGCCGCGGCAGCATTGCGGGAGGCCTGCGCTAACGACACCCCTGTTTGCTTTGAAGTGATATTGTCTCGTAGAGATGAGCCATTGTTTTAGTGAATCGGAAGTTTGTCCGAGGTACCAGAAGGCATGCATCTTCGGGGAGTTGAGACATTCATATGTTATGAATCCAGATGGTGAATGCGATAGTCGAAATATTTGCGCCGCGTTGCTGGCTGCTGCTGGGAAGGCTGTGCCATTACGCCTCATAATGCTCCCAAGGCTTCTTGTTGCGGGCCTCCTCGCTCCTCAAGTGCTCTCTCGTCACTATGAGAGCTTTTCCTAGTCGATTCTCACCCCAGTGTTGACGGTGAGACAAAGCATGTTTGGCGGTATATTCAATGCCTCAAACGCGATCCTTTGACGCAGCCTCGCAGAGCAGACGATCGCCTGTGGATAATAGCTTCCGGCCCAAGGACGCGTTCTGTCCGAACTTCGCTTTGTTGCATGTCTCGGCGACGGCACTCTTGATCAGATCCCAACTCTCGTTTGTGAATCCATCGACGTTTTTGCCTAGTCTCTTCTGTTCTTTCGGACTGATTGCAGCTAGGACTTGATCCTGCATCGGGATGTCATGGAATCTTGCGGCTTTGCAATACATCATGAATTGCTCGGCACAGTTGAAATTGATGATTCCATCACGATCCGTTTCGTCTACTTTGTGGCCGACAAGGTCGGAGATATCTGCCTTGGAAATGGTGAAGCTTGTCACAAAAAGCGGGCCCACTCAATGTGGGCAGCATTAACCATACCCATATCTCGTGACACACCCCCCAGACGCCTAGAGCCATCCTCCGCAATGGGCGTCTAAAACTGCGCCTTAGCCCCGCAAGTAGTAGACTAGCTAGAAAAACCTCTACCTGGACAGAAACTCGAACGGTTACTTTTTATTTTAGGTATACGACCTATAAATAATATAGCACTTTTAATTATTATAATAATAGCGGATAGAGCTAGGCTTATAATTATTACGAGTTATAGTATATAGTAATAGGTATACGGAGTATAGTAAAGTGGCTTAACCTCTTAAAATAGAAATAGATAAAAGAAAAAGGTCTATATATAGGATGTAAGTGAAATATACGTGATACAGCACGTGATAGGCACTTTGTGGATTGTGGTCCCTATCCTTGTTACGTGATAAAGCTCGACTTGTGCCATTGGCAGAATTCTCCCCATTCTGCATCAGGCATGTAGAAGAATAGCGGGTTGTCAGCCTGACTGTTTTCTGGCTGATCGATTGTTCTTGGCTTTGTAGCTTTATCGATTGTTGTCTTTGGTGGTGGTTTCCGTTGTGATTTCGGTGGCAATTTCTCTCAAGATATGGAAACCAGTTTGACGACAGACAGACAAGTAGGCAAGGGAATCGAATGTAAAATCGATATGGTCTCTTCTGGTCTCTTCTGTTCTCTTTTGTTTGCTACTCGTTTACCTACGAAGGGACATGTCGTCATTTTATAGCCATATATACTAACACCTAGCCATCCGGGTGACTTGATCTTCTATCAAATGATTCGGAGATAGCAATCAAAGGTGAAGCGTACCACGGTACTCTCTTAAGAGCGCTGGAATATACATGGTCATGCGCACCCTTTCGCCCCAAATTAGTAGATTCAGCCCAGTTACTTCGATGTTGCTTGGACGGCACGCAAGCAAGTAGGGCTACACAGCATAGCCACATCTCACTCAGTAATCATTTGTAGTTAGATACTCTGCAATGTAGAACTCTCTTCTCTCGGGTAACCCTATCAACATAGGAAAAGGCTAATTCAGTTTAATGTATATCCAGTTCCAAATGGTCACTTTTCAATCGAGTGCGGCAGGGCATCATGCAGCGAAAACTTCATCAGAGTGGATGATGGAGAACATTCATGTTACAATATTATGTATTTCGAAATCGTGATCAGACAGCCAAGCCACAAATCTGTTCTCGCTATGATTTTGTCGATAGCCGCTTTTCCGCCGTCGTCGTATGAGTGGCCTCAGCTCCCAACTTGCCCCCATTCATAGAAAGAGGCCTGACCTGTCGATTTCCCATCCACTCCCACGGTGACCCAGGCGGTGATGAGTGCCGATTATTAAACGATGTCCGCGTAAACCCAGCTTCGACGTCATGATCTCTTGAGGTCGGAGACATCCCGTCATGAAGAAGCGGCACCTCCCCGCTTGTCACCCTCCTCATCTCCGCAATCGTTGAAGGCCGCAGCGTCATGCTCTCGTCCCGGGGAATCATCCTCCCCCGCCTCGACGTCGTCCACGTCCTCGCCTCGTACGACAGCTGGAACTCCATCGTCTTCATGATCCCCGATGACGGTGGCTCGGTCGCTGCCCCGTCTGACGATATCGTCGATGTGGTAAGCGTGGTATCAGCGGTAATGCAATCAAAGCCGCCGCTGGCCGCTGACCCGCGCCGTAGCGGAAACGCCCACGACGCCCGACTCCTTGGCGGCGGCATCGGCCGCATCTGATGTGCCTGTGGGCCGGAGGAGATCCGGGATTCGTAAGAAAAGTCGTCAAACCGCAGGCGTAGTACGTCGTTTTTAGATGTGCCCCCGCTTCGAAACTCGTGCTGCCTCCTCTCTGTTCTGTCAGATAGCGCCATTGAGTCGTTTGTGATTGTTGGAAGGTCCCGTGTTCGCCAGATGCCCCTTTCGTATCCCCGCCGTTGTCTTTTCCCGAGAATATGTCGAACCAGCGGGGATAAAGCCGGTGCACAGGCTGCCGCTATGCCAATACCAGGTTCGATGTTGCTCCAGATGGCGAGATATGCTGTGTCGCCTTGGGAAAGTAAGTAAATAACCAAGCTTGACTATAGGGGAGCTTTCTTGAGACATACGAAGAAAGTTTTCCTGATTGAGCAGTCCTGGAACAGCTACTGCGCGCACTATGGTAGCAATGCTCGCTCTAAAGAAGACGGGAGGTGATTAGTAAGTCTTAAAGCTTTTTCATATGCTGGTATGTAAATAGGCAGGGCGACATACATGGACGCGAAGCCTAGCAGCAGAATGACTAGTAGTTTCGTCTTTAGGCGCATCTGCAGGGACCAGACAATCAACAACGGCAGAGCGCCAAAAGTCCAGTCCGCGAGACAGTTCAGGATCGCGAGGGTGTATGTGCAGCCAAGCACGACGCTATCTGAGAAGCAGCTGCCTGGTGTCCGAGGGCCCACGTCCCAGAATACGTGAAGCGGTCTGCACTGGAATATGACCAGGATGAAGTACAGGGACCCGAAAACGAATGTCGAACATAGGAGTATTCGAAGTGTCCAAATATGTAAAGGTACAATGGCAATGCTTAGCAATAGTAGGCCAACGCAGACTTTCAAGAGTATAGTAGTTATCAGATAAAGGAGTTCGCCGGCGAAGAAAAGCTGCACGCAGAGTATCAGCTCCTTGGTGTTCGCAAAGTGGAAAGGCCCCAAGCTTGTTGTTTCACAGTTGAGGAGCCATCTACACATACCTGAAGAGCTATCCTTCTGTCCTCTGGTGAAAACTCTACAGCATCATGTCCAGACCCGTGGAAGACTGCCGCGATATCCGTAAGAAGGTACGCAGTGAATGTGATCTGGACCAGGCATATGAGCTTGTCATCGAGAGTGAACACCCGTGTCAGGAAGAGCCTCGAGTAGATGCGCAGCGGCACCGCGACCCAGGTGAGGCAGAGGCAAAAGATGGCGACCGCGAGGACGCGACGAGGTCGGTGCGGGTCAATGTCGACGTCTACCATGCCGCGACATGAGGTTGATCGTACCTGATGATTGCCACTGCTGCATCAGGGAAATTGCGGCAGGGGCAAGAAAGGGCAATCAGGAAGAGAACAAGGTAAGAAGATCTATGGAGTCAAAGCCGGCCGTATTCGATGGCATGCGATCCGTAGGGACGGCACCCTAATGAAAGAAGGTCAGGTTACGCAAGGATCGGAACCATCTTCTCTCCTGGATGCGGGGAGGGGGGTCCGCTCGAGCTAAAAAGAACATAGAGACATAGGTCCAGATAGAAAGAATAGACTTTGAACCGGCACCTGGCTCAAGCTTTTGGATCGGCACCACGCTCAGAGGCCACGGGCCGGGTGTTGACGTCGGAAAGTCTGATGGACGTGGATACCATCTCGCCTTCTGAAGATCAGTTGTCCATATCTGGACAAAGAGTGTTTTCAATGGGATCGAAATGGGTACTCCCCATGAAACGTGGGATAAGCTCACTCAAAGCTTGAGCTAATTACTGACAGATGGGAAGAAAGAGGCATTGGCGCGTGCTCCTCCAAGCCCAAAATGCGATGTGGCATTGTGGGAAATGCGACGATTCATCCAAAGTCACTCGCCCTACCCGTTCCAGTCGTCCCTTGTATGCTCCTCTACCTCAATCCAATAAGCTTCTCACTCAGTTGTTTTGGACTGATGTCGTGAATGGTCTAGGTTTTGTCGAGCCTCTAATGCAGTTGCAAACGGCCTAGCACCGAGCAAATGCAGAAATTCCAGGTACGCTGTGGCCATGCACGACGATCAGATGGAATGTGGGGGGATGCCACGGATCATATAACGAAAAAGACATCATAAATGATATGATTGAAGGGGCGAAGAATACATGGTTTGAGACATTTACTTGCCAGCTTTCCAACTTGGGACTGTGGCTTGAAGTATGCAGAGATTTTTGGGTTCTAGTCCACTTGAAAAGTCGACGGAACAGGCAATAAATACGAACTTGCACTGGCGTCAGACGATCTGGACCTTTTGCCCCGCGCCAAACAGCCTCTGATATCGAGCTTACGTCCAGCTCAGCCACGCCGCGCAGTACTGGCGCGTCTCCAAAGGTGCCAAAGTAATCAAGGTCATCCGCTGCCTATTCTTCAAGCATGGGCCAGATACGATCGAATGCGAGATACGTCGAGCCAGATACGAGACATCCCACAAACCAGGACAGCTGTCAAAGTCACGTCCACCCGGCCTGAACTTCGCTAGGTGCCGTAGCTCTCTGCGCTAACCCAGGAATGAACATCCAGGCGCCGAGTACCCAAGAAACGGCCGCCCGCAGATTCCAATCTCTGTTGTACCAGTAGATGCTGTCGGGTGAGTCACCGTACATGTCAGTGAGCTCCATGGTCCGCTTGCGGATGAGGAAGTAGTCGGCAAACATGATCCCCCTGAGCGGACCGAGGAAGACGTTGAAGCTGCCGACCACGGTTAGAAAGTTGCTGGCGCTGTTAAGCAGTGACGAGGGCTGCATGACGAGGACGAAGACGAAGACGGTGGTGAAGTATCCCCCGCGGCGGATCGTAAACCATGGCGGTAGCAGCGCGGCTAGATCGATACCCGCGACTACACAGTTGGAGGCAGCGACCATGCCAAACTGCGATAGCATGAAGCGATACTGGCGAACGCAACCCCATCCCGAGCGGCGGAATTTTAGCCTCGTTCTTGCGCACAGCAGCGAGGAAGGCGTAGGGCTGCCATAGCAGCTTTCCTTTCCTTCGTTGGGGTAGAGCGTTGCCTCGCATGACGCGCAGATAATACCGATACAGGCCACAAAGATGGTTCCAATAGGTACCATAATTAGCTGAGCGAGGACTGGGTCCCCTGGTTTCCGTGCATAGCCGGTGTAATCGGACTGAGACCATATATGCGTGGCGATACCTCCAATGTTTGCCGTGACCGCGGCTACGAAAGCCCATCCCAAGTTTCCCCCTTGCGCAGGCTTGATACCAGAGACCTTGCTCACATCTGCAAGAAGGGGACCTCCACCGCCCGCACGAGCGGTAGACCAGATCAATAGCACAAAAACGGCTTCCACCACTGTAGTCGAGGCGAAGAGGGACGGTTTGCGATAGTTTTCTGGGCTGAACCACATCAATGGCAGACAGAGCTGGAAGTACAGGATGAAGGAGATGAGGTCATAGACTTTCATCGTCCCGTCCGCAAACTCAGAATCCAAATTGAGGTACGATGGCCAGATGCAGGTCAAGAGGACCCTCAAGCATTGGCTCCCATGCCACGTGTTAGTGGCTGTCCATACAAAGGATGAGAAGACTCGGATGGCCTGGTCGCGAGATTAGTCAACACAGCCTCAAATCTTGTTTGCACTGGGAAAGGTAAGGTGAGATTTAAGGTCTAGACTTACTATGGGAAACAGATAACCCCATATACCTCAATTCTGCTTCTATCAAAAGCGGAAACCCGATATGCCACTTTGCGCCGGGGTGGCCTCCAGCTATACACACAAACTTAACAAAGGTGTGAGCGACGACGATTGCAATCATCAATTGCTTTAGCTCCATCAGCCCATGGATAGCTGCCTCTAGTTATCTCGCGGGTTGGGCTAAATCGCTTACCCAGACGTTGAGTTCCAAGAAGATCGAGGAAGAACCCGTCGTCCCAACGCCAACATTGAAAGATTCGGTAACCATCCATAACCCCAAAAACTCCCAAGAACCGTAAGTTCGACGGGACGGAGGTAACGGACGGGAATCTTTGTTGACGTAGATGTCCACGTCAGTGTCTGTATCTTTATTGACCTCTACGCGCCGAATTAGACGGCGGCCCC